CCCCACCTGCCCCCTCACTTGTCTTCTCTTACCTGCCCCCCCAACCTGCCCCCATCACCTGTCCTCCCTCACTTGCTCCCCACCTGCTCCCTCACCTGTCCCCCAACCTGTCCCCTCACCTGCTCCCTCACCTGCCCCCTCACCTCTCCCACCTCACCTGCCCCCTCACCTGTCCCCCGACCGACACGCCTGCAGTGCATTTGTTGCTGCATTTTCAGAGCTGAGGACCAGGTGCCAGGGGGTGCAATGAACCTGTGCCCCCCTTTCAGAACCCAGGGTTATTTCCAACATATGTGATAAAAGCAGAACATGTCCCACAGGTAAGAACCTAAGTATAGGATGTAGCCTTAGTATGGTAGGGAAAGTAAGCCCCAGCCTGGCCTTCTAGGCGGTGGATGGAGGTAGGGCCTCCCACTGGAAGGAGATGGCGCCGTCCTCTTCTCAATTCCTTCTGCCTGCCTGGCTCTCAGCCTCAGGCCCAGCCCCTAGGAGGGCACCCCTCCTGGCAGCCTGCAGCACCTGATACCCCTGCGCTGTCTCCTGACTTTCCAGGGACAGTCTTTTTCACTCCTGTGGGTGACAGTGCACTGTGTCCACAAGCTTCGTTGGGGTCAGGGAGGCCTGCCCTTCCTATATCAAGGAGGCCTATATTTGGATACAAGATGGGGAAGCAGCACCGGGGGCTTCCCCCACAGTCTGTCCCCTGGCGTCTGTGCCTGAGGCTGCAGCCTGCTATGGTCTGGATGGAAAGCTGGGCCCCAGGGCATTGGGGGCAGGGTGATTGGGGAACGGGAGGGGACAGGCTTCATAGCTGGGCATGGCAGGGAGGCCTTGCCAGGACGTCAGTGTCAACTCAGTGCGAGGGCCCCAGAGGAGGCCATTCCCACTGCTGCCTGAGGTCCGCAAGAGGCCCTTCCTGGGTCCTGGATGTCTGTGGGTGCACATCAGACCCCACCAAGGGTAGACAGCCAGGATGCCGAGGTTTCTGGTCACCACGTGGCACCCCCAGGCTGGGCGGTGCAGTGCCAGGAGTGGGCAAAGAAGATGTGGGACTAGAAGTTCTGTGGCCTTGGGAATGTTGCCCCATCCCGGTAAAGAGTGTCCATTGTGAAGGGAGGCCGCTTGGCAGGTGGCTGTCCCGTGGTTGGTTCCGGGCCAGAAGGTGAGCTTTATGGCTGGGCTTTGGATGACTGTGCCTGCCTGGTGCTTTAGCAGCCAAGGAAGCCTGGCCTTCCATCCCAAGAAAGCAGCGCAGTGCTGGCGCCCCACCCCATAGAGAATGCTGGCCATGTGCTGGTCCCGTGTGCTGCTGGATAGCTGTGTCCTGCACTGGCATGCCCTGGGACTGTCCTTCACAGTAATTAGTGTCACACACATCCCCCCTGAAACTGCTGCAGCCTTTGCTTAAGACTAGGCCTCTGAAGATGGAATAGAAACCGCTCTGTTCCTGAGCAGCAGGGGCTGGGCTTGGCCATCTAGGGGAGGCCCTGGAACCTGCATTTCCCCAGGCTCTCAGGTGACTCTGACACTGGTGCTGGCAGTAGGGGGTCCTCGGGACCTGCAGTGTTACCATCAGGAAGGAGGGGCCCCAGTGCCAAAGCCAGCTCCTTCTGGTCCCTGCACTTGTTGATGACAGGAAGTTGAATGTGGCTTTTAGTTAAAACAAAAAACTGTTCTGGAAACTAGCTTGGTTTCTGCTCATCACTGTCGTCTGAACAGCAGAGAAAGAAAGAGACGTGTGTGGAAGGGGTAGTGTGTGTTCAGTGTATTTTTGCTATCAGAGATTAGTGTTTTTATTATTATTATTATTATTTTGCTTTCTTTCCTCACATAATTAATATGGCTGTCCGTTTTTTTCTTTGTAAATACTATATTTTATGACTTTTTCTGATTATAAACTTACCTATTTTTGGTAGGAAATTTGAAAAATACAGAGGAGCATAACAAAAAAATAATAATTCTTGGTATCTTAAAGCTAACCATTATTAACTTTTTAAAAAATAAAATGTATTTAATTTTGCTTGAGATTAACAGAATTTTAAAAATGAAGTGAAACTCAGTTACACTGAACTTCAGATAAATTTCCCTTTCAAGCTCATGACGTTAGTTCCTAAAAGGTTGTGTTAAAGTTATAAAAAGCTTATGAGAAATACTGAAATTGGTATATTTTTATTTAACTACATGTTTCCTAAAATGTAGGCTTCAAGTTAAACCTTTCACTGTCTTACAGTTGTCTAAACAGATATTAAAAGCTCAATTTTTAATTTAAAAATGTTTAAAAGTCAAACCTATTTTTAGGATGATTTGTTAAGAGAAATTAACAAGGAAAGGTTGATCATTAAGAATTAACACCCCAGAGGGGCCAGGCATCTTCAGGGAAGAAAACAAGCGCCCAGCAGGTGGTGAGCAAATTTGAGAACCTCCGCTGGAGTCAAAGAACTGTGGAGAGGACCCCCCACCGCCCCCAGGGAGGGGACTCGGGTTTGCTCCGTGCCGCTGAAGGTGGACCGTGGGAGAATGGGTGCCCTCCTCCTCGCCTGCTCTGTCTGGAGGGCCCCGCGATGCTGTTTTTTCTGCTGCATGCCCATTCTGCAGGCGAGGAGACCAAGAGCTTGGAGTGCAGGGTGGGGGCTAAACCCAGGTGTGACTAATTCGGAACACCACTCTCGCTTTTTCCTCATTCAAGAAGGACTGTTTGGCAGGTGCTAAGGGAGATGCAGGGTGGACTCTGAGACAGGCCCCGCCCGCAGTGGAGGGGAGGCAGAGGCTGGGGCACAGGACAGGACGCCAACCTGAGGGTAAAATGGGTGAGCAGAGGGGCAGGGTATGGGGTAGCAGCTGGAAGGTGGCTGAACTGACCTAGGGGAGGAGGGAGCTACGTGCTGGGAAGAGTTGAGGAGACCACGCTGGAGGCTGCTGCTGGGTGCAGAGGGTGACGGTGGTGATGGCCAGGGTGACATGAACGGAAAGAACCCACGGACTATCAGGCTTGTGAGAGGAAACAAAAGGCACATAAAATTCGTCTGTATAGAAACAATGCCTGGGGCCTACCAGGCCTGCTCGAGGGGAGTGGGGGTACCTGCTTTGTGCGAGGCCTGCGCTAGGAGCCTGCCAGGGCAGCCTGACCTCAGCCCACCACTGCTTCTAATGCAGGGTGGGAGGGGAGGTGGGCTGTGCCTGAGACAGGTAGGGAGCTTCCAGACATAGAAGCTGGAGGTGGGGCGGAGGTGGGCAGGGCCTGATGATACCAGGTGCTGAGCAGGCCCCAGGACACATAGTCATGGGAAGGCGAATGAAACCGTCCCCGCACATTGACAAGAATTGCATGCCAGGTTCTGGACAGAAAGATACTCATAATTAAGCTTGAATCAGGCTGCTCTCTGGCCCAAGATGTTTTTCAGATCCCAGTTCCAGCAACCAGTTTGGAAACCCCCCCACAGAGGAACGGAATCATCACGAAAACACAGCTGCTTCCTCTCCCTGTGCTGTGACATCACGCTGCCCCTTCCAACAGTCGATCTCCACACTTCGCCACTCCAGAACCCTTAAAAACCCGGGCCCCAGGCTCCTCGGGGAGATGGATTTGAGTTTCCTCCGTCTCCTTGTCCTGGGACCCTGCGATCATCCTGCTTTCATGCTGCAGCCCCGTGTTTCTGAGCGTTGACTGGCTGTGTGCGTGGGGCACAGACCTATCAGGGCACCCAAGGACCAGTGTGCACTGGGGTGCAGATGTGAAGCTGCCGTGCCAGGGGAGTTGCCAGGGCTTTTGCCCAAGGCAGCAGGGAGCTGCAGCTTCTGACAGCTGCTGGGCATGCCCTGGGCATGGTACGTTCCTGTCCTCGGGGCATTGGCCTGGTGGTAGAGCTGGTACTAAGCCATTCTGAGAAGAGAGAGAACATGGACAGGGATCGCTGTGGTGACACCAGGCAGACCCTTCCCACCTGCCTTTAGTAGGAAAATGGGTGGGCACAGCAGGGGCTGGCCCTTTGGGAGGGGCCCCATTGGCCCCCATCACCCAGAGCATTAGGTCTGCATGGCTGTGCCTGAGAACTGGGGTGTTGGGGGGGTACAGGTCCAGCTTAGGGGTGCTGGTGTTCACCCCGTCACCCCAAGCCCTCTCACATGACACCATCAAAATTCAGAAAGCCCGGGTCCTTGGGGCCATACCCACCCACTGTACTCTCGGGTCTCTGCGTGATGGCTAATGGTGGAGACTTTCTTTTGAGGGCACACACATGCCCCTGGCACAGACAGGACACAGACAGCTCTCCCAGGATCAGTCCCGACCTTAACCCACTGGGACACACCCGGAGTTTGAATTCCAGCTCTGCCTCTCACCGACTGTGTGATCTCAGGCAAGCTGCCTAACCTCTCTGAGCCTCCGTGTCCTCACCTGTAAAATGAGGATGTTGACGACAGTGAGAATATATGAGGCAACATACACAAAGCACTTGTCAATAAATGATGTGCAATACTGTAATCATTATCAAATACATCAAAATGCACATGGCCACAGCAGGGGTCTCAGGGCAAATGAATGCCCCCACTGGGAAAAGCAAATCTTGCCACATAGAGTGTGGCTCAGCCTGCAGCAGTTCTCAGTGCTCCCCAGGAGACAGGAGGTCCCTGGCTGCAGGTGGTCTCTCTGCTACTGGGAAGTAAGGACTGACATCACCTTGCAGAGGAAAGCCGAAATGGCTCCCTGACCCCAGGGCCCCTGTCCAGGCAGATGGACCGTTGCAGCTAGAGTGGAGGGGGCAGAGGGTGACATGGCACCTCGCAGAGCTTCCCAGAAGAGATGCCCATCAGATTGAGAAAGAAACAGTCCTTTTCAAAAGGGTGGCGGAAGCTAGTGTGGCAATTTCCTAGGTTCTGAAAGCCTCAGGGAAGAAAGGTGCCCTGAGGGACTGGGCGCTGCGGTCTGTGCAGTTCAGTGCCTGGGCGTGGAGAGAGGCCAGATGCTCAGACGGCACCACCCTTGGGGTCCCTGTTGCTTCCTCCGCGCCCCCAGCCCGCTCAGTCATGAGGAAGGCTCTGTAATTTAGTCTCAGAGGAGGCAGTGGAGGGGCTGTAGGAGTTGTGGGGTGGAGGCAGGATGCATGCTTGTGTCTGGGGCCCAGGTTCCGAAATCTCTCTTGCTGCTAGACTGGGGGCCTCCCAGCACCCTCCCTGTACAGCCGAAGACTGAAGGCCCTTGCTGGAAGCACCAGAAATGATCACAGCACCTGGGCAGGGTGTTGGGGGCTGTCACTAGCACAGCGGCAGAAGGTCCTGCACTGGACAGAGCAGGGGGCCGAGGCCGGCAGAGAGCACCCCACACCCCGTGTGCCTCCATGCCTATGCCTTCCGCGAGCCACCTCTTTTCAGCCTCCCCAAGACCGGAGATGGGGTGCAGTTATCTTCCCATTTCACGGACGGTAGGACTGAGGCTGAGGGCCCGCTCCGTGTGTGTGAACGTGGGCTCTGGGGCTTCCGTCTGGGGTTTGGTGGCCGACAGCAGATCTACTGGGAACGGAGGGAAAACCTTGGTGCAGCATTACACACCAGCGAGGGACCAGGAACACAGCCCAGGAAAGTGACTTTGCCGGCTGCCCAGCACGTCAGCTCCCACACCACTCTGCTACAAGCCCCTAGCCTGCTCCATGAGATGAGCAGAGCTCTGAAACCCCTCAGCAGTCAGTAGGTTTAATTAGATCCCATGACACGCTAGGACAGCCGGCTCCATGTCCCCTCCAGGAGAGCCTTTTCTGAGGTGTGAGAAGGAGCCACTTCTCTTGGGTGAACGTGCGTCTCTTCCCCGCTTCCCTCTTGGACTGAGACACGAAGGGGCAGGGCACAAGACGGCGGTGGGCAGGCGGCGCTGCATCATGACAGGACCAGGAGGAGAGGCCCCTGTGAGGCTGGGAAGTGGGTGGAAGGCTCCACGTGTGAGTTGAGAAGACTCCCAAGCTGGGAGGCAGGGCAGGCGTGCTGTCCCCAGCCTTCTGCCGGCCATGGGTGAGCTTCATGTTCACTGAGCACCACCCAGAGCCCGTGGTGGTGGCATCTTCCTGTCAGTGAGAGCAGAAGCTGCCTCCCTCCTCCAGCCTGCCCTGTCCTCTTGGGCACTCAGTGGCAACACCCACCCTAGGCCAGGCCTGGGAGCTCAACACTGTCCCCCAGCGTCACTGAGTCCTCAGTATTCTGATTCACCAGGAGGAGGTGAGAACCCTCCGTGGACCCCTTGGGTGCTCTGGGGCTGTCCTCTTGTCAGTGGTCCTGCTGCACACCCCCCAACCTGGGCCCCTTTGGCCAGACTCTAGCCCCCTTCTGTCCCCATCTGCTGAGTGGGGGTCGTGTGACTTGAGCGGGTCACCTCAACCCTCTGATGCCAGCTTCCTGGTTGGTTAAATGAGGCGAGGGCCTCTTAAGTTCCCATCAGTATCCTGGTCTGATTCCTGTGCCAGGGAGGGCATGGCCCAGTTCCCTTTCGGGGAGGGAAGGTTGTCCCTGGCTGTGTGACTTGGGCAAATCACCTAGCCTGACTGTGCCTCAGTTTCCCAGTGCACAGGCAGTGGCTGCTTCCTCCGTGTCCCCCCTCCCCCTGAGTGCTGACCCTCAGGGAGTGAATTTCAGGAAGGGTGAAAGAGTCTGATCGTTAGGGTCCCTGGGGCCAAGTCACAGGACAGCAGCCGGCAGGAAGGAAGGACAAGCCATCAGATAGAAGAGGCTAACCGCAGGCATGTGGCTGCCCTGTCGCCTCCGTCCCGCAGAGGGGCTGCGGGAGATCTGCCTTGCTCAGACCTTTCTCAGACCTCTGTGAAGACCAGAGAATGGAAGACGTTTCCCTTGCCCCTAGCCTTCTGGGCAGCCCCCACACCCTTTATTCCTGTAGCCTGCTACCCCCAAAGGTGGCTGCAGCCGGATGGAGCCCCTTGCCCCTCTCACCACTCCCAGCACCTCTTACCACCGCATGGTCCTGTGGGGATTCCAAGCCAGGAAAGTGCCCTGGGGAAGACCCAAGGCACCAGCGGCCAATCTCAGGGAGAGACCCCAAGGGAGCGGCCAGGGGAGAACGCCACTTACCTGGGGAATGGCCCCCGGTGGTGCTCACGACCAGGCAGCAGAAGGCCAGCAGAGTTCCAGCCGCTTGCATGGCTGCCCGGGTGGGCACAGTGCGGGGCAGTCGGGGGTGGCCGTGCAGAGCCTTCTCAGGCAGCATGGGGCAGTTGGGGTCAGTGGTTGATGCCCGTGCCAATCCTTCTCAGGCAGCACGGGGCAATGCTGGGCAGTGGTTGGTGCCTGTGCGGAGCCTTCTCGGGTACCACGGGGCAGTGGGCTGTCTCAAACCAGGGGCGGGTGCTGGGGCCACAGCGTGGAACTCCACCCTGCAAACCACTCTGGGACAGGGGCAGGGGCGGGGCTAGGGGGCTGCCTGCGTGGTGCTAGGGAGGGGAGTGGTTTGCTGCTGAATCATTTTGGCCAGAAGCTCTTCACCTTTACATCTATCAGCCACAAAGGCAACCGCTTCCTTTATAAAAGTTTCCAAGCAGTTGTCATTTGCTGGGGGAGGAGGAAGAGAAACGAGACCCGTGAGCAAATCCTGCTGCAATGTTCTACCCCTGAGCCACACACCAAAGAGATGTTGCATGAAAAACATTAGCAGGAATTTTCAAAAGCAGAATCACTTGATTTTCTTCTTTTTTTAAAAAATACTTAAGTTCTGGGGTACATGTGCAGAACGTGCTATGGTGGTTTGCTGTACCCATCAACCCATCATCTACATTAGGTATTTCTCCAAATGCTATCCCTCCCCTGGCGCCCCACCCCCAGACAGGCCTTGGTGTGTGATGTTCCCTTCCCTGTGTCCATGTGTTCTCATTGTTCAACTCCCACCTATGAGTGAGAACATGCTGTGTTTGGTTTTCTATTCTTGTGTTAGTTTGCTGAGAATGATGGTTTCCAGCTTCATCCACGTCCCTGCAAAGGACATGAACTCATCCTTTTTTATTGCTGCATAATATTCCATGGTGTATATGTGCCACATTTTCTTTATCCAGTCTACCATTGATGGGCATTTGGGTTGGTTCCAAGTCTTTGCTATTGTGAAGAGTGCTGCAATAAACATACATGTGCATGTGTCTTTAGAGTAGAATGATTTATAATCTTTTGAGTGTATACCCAGTAATGAAATTGCTGGGTCAAATGGTATTTCAGGTTCTAGATCCTTGAGGAATCGCCACACTGTCTTCCATGATGGTTGAACTAATTTACACTCCCACCAACAGTGTAAAAGCATTCCTATTTCTCCACATCCTCTCCAGCATATGTTGTTTCCCGACTTTTTAATGATCGCCATTCTAACTGGCATGAGATGGTATCTCATTGTGGTTTTGATTTTCATTTCTCTAATGACCAGTGATGATGAGCGTTTTTTCATATGTTTGTTGGCCGCTTAAATGTCTTCTTTTGAGTGTCTGTTCATATCCTTCACCCACTTTTTGATGGGGTTGTTTTTTTTCTTGTCAATTTGTTTAAGTTCCTTGTAGATTTTCGACATTAGCCCTTTGTCAGATGGATATATTGCAAAACCTTTCTCCCATTCTGTAGGTTGCCTGTTCACTCTGGTGAGAGTTTCTTTTGCTATGTGGAAACTCTTTAGTTAAATTAGGTCCCATTGATCAATTTTGCCTTTTGTTGCTATTCCGTTTGATGTTTTAGTCATGAAGTCTTTGCCCATGCCTATATCCTGAGTGGTACTGCCCAGGTTTTCTTCTAGGATTTTTATGTTTTTACGTCTTATGTTTAAGTCCTTAATCCATGTTGAGTTAATTTTTGTATAAGGTGTAAGGAAGGGGTCCAGTTTCAGTTTTCTGCAAATGGCTAGCCAGTTTTCCCAACACCATTTATTAAATAGGGAATCCTTTCCCCATTGGTTGTTTTAGTCAGGCTTGTCAAAGATCAGGTGGTTGTTGATGTGTGGTGTTATTTCTGAGGCCTCCGTTCTGTTCCGTTGGTCTATATATCTGTTTTGGTGCCAGTACCATGCTGTTTTGGTTACCATAGCCTTGCCGTATAGTTTGAAGTCAGGTAGCATGATGACTCCAGCTTTGTTCTTTTTGCTTAGGATTGCCTTGGCTATGCAGGCTCTTTTTTGGTTCCATATGAACTTTAAAGTAGTTTTTTCCAATTTTGTGAAGAAAGACAATGGTAGCTTCATGGGGATAGCACTGAATTTGTAAATTACTTTGGGCAGTATGGCCATTTTCACAATATTGATTCTTCCTATCCATGAGCATGGAATGTTTTTCCATTTATTTGTGTCCTTTCTTATTTCCTTGAACAATTGTTTGTAGCTCTCCTTGAAGAGGTCCTTCACATCCCTGTAAGTTGTATTCCTAGGTATTTTATTCACTTTGCAGCAATTGTGAATGGGAGTTCACTCATAATTTCACTCTCTGTTTGTCTATTATTGGTGTATAGGAATGTTTGTGATTTTTGCGCATTGATTTTGTATCCTGAGACTTTGCTGAAGTTGCTTATCAGCTTATGGAGATTTTGGGCTGACACAATGGGGTTTTCTATATATACAATCATGTCATCTGCAAACAGAGACAATTTGACTTTCTGTTTTCCTTTTTGAATACTCTTTATTTCTTTCTCTTGCCTGCTTGCCCTGGCCAGAACTTCCAATACTATGTTGAATAGGAGTGGTGAGAGAGGGCATCCTTGTGCTGGTTTTCAAAGGGAATGCTTCAAATTTTTGCCCATTCAGTATGATATTGGCTGTGGGTTTGTCATAAATAGCTCTTATTATTTTGAGGTACATTCCATCAAAACCTAGTTTATTGAGAGTTTTTAGCATGAAGGAGTGTTGAATTTTGTTGAAGGCCTTTTATGCGTTTATTGAGATAATCATGTGGTTTTTGTTATTGGTTCTGTTTATGTGATGGATTATGTTTATTGATTTGCATATGTTGAACCGGCCTTGCATTCCAGGTATGAAGCCGACTTGATCATGCTGGATAAGCTTTTTGATGTGCTGCTGGATTCAGTTTGCCATATTTTATTGAGGATTTTCACATCAATGGGACATCAGGGATATTGGCCTGAAATTTTCTTTTTTGTTGTGTCTCTACCAGGTTTTGGTATCAGGATGATGCTGGCCTCATAAAATGAGTTAGGGAGGATTCCCTCTTTTTCTCTTGTTTGGAATAGTTTCAGAAGGAATGGTACCAGTTCCTCTTTGTACCTCTGGTAGAATTCGGCTGTGAATCCATCTGGTCCTGGACTTTTTTTGGTTGGTAGGCTATTAATTACTGCCTCAATTTCAGAACTTGTTCTTGGTCTATTCAGGGATTCGACTCCTTCCTGGTTTTGACATGGGAGGGTGTATGTGTCCAGGAATTTATCCATTTCTTCTAGGTTTTCTAGTTTATTTGCGTAGAGGCGTTTACAGTATTCTCTGATGGTAGTTTGTATTTATGTGGGATCAGTGGTGATATCCCCTTTATCGTTTTTTATTGCATCTATTTGATTCTTCTCTCTTTTCTTCTTTATTAGTCTGGCTAGTGGTCTATCTATTTTGTTGATCATTTCAAAAGACCAGCCCCTGGATTCATGGATTTTTTGAAGGGTTTTTTCATGTCTCTATCACTTTCAGTTATGCTCTGATCTTAGTTATTTCTTGTCTTCTGCTAGCTTTTGAATTTGTTTGCTCGTGCTTCTCTAGTTCTTTTAATTGTGATGGGAGGGTGTTGATTTTAGATCTTTCCTGCTTTCTCTTGTGGGCATTTAGTGCTATAAATTTCCCTCTACACAGTGCTTTAAATGTGTCCCAGAGATTCTGGTACATGGTTTCTGTGGGCCTGGAGTCTGGCCTGGCCGAGCTGGGTGCTCTGAGTCTCACCAAGCTGGCCAGGGGTGGAGTGGGGCAGTGTGGCTGGGGCTGCAATGTGGGGCTGCAATGTGGGGCTGGCTGGGGCTGCAGTCTCATCAGAGGCTCAACTAGGGAAGGGGCTGCTTCCCAGGTAAAAGGCTTGTTGTCAGCTGTCGGTTCCTTAAGATTGTCAGTTTCAGCTTCCTACTGGCTGTTGGCTAGAGGCCACCTTAAGCTCCTAGCCATGTGGGCCTTCTTGACAGGGCCACTGACTTCCTGAAAGCTGGCATGGGAGAGATTGCTTCTTGGAAATTTGGGCTACAGTCTCACATACCATTAACATGGAGATGACCTCCCATCACCTTTGCCATATTCGAATGCCTGGAAGTGAGTCACAGGTCCCACCCACACTAAAGGGGAGGGAACAGCACAGGGCTGGGACAGTGGAGCCACTACAGAGCCTGTTGCCACACTTACTAAAGTTTACTACAAACCCTCGCTATCTCTGCACTGAGGAGGCCACAAAAAGTGACCAACCAGGTGGCAGTGAGCACCCTAAAAGTGGTTTCTCACTAAGGACTAAGGCTGTTGGAGAAATGACTGATTCCATGCCAGGACAGGAAATGTACAAGATGAGCCAGAAACATCTCACCTTCTAGGGAGCAGGGAAACCCTCAAAGGCTGTTGGGGCCATATCAAAGGCATCAGAGCCAAGCTGAAGAGGCTCCCACTGGCCCAGGGAAGGGACAAGTTAGCATTAATAAGAATAATAACTACAGGGGATTGAAGCACACAGATATTTAAAAAGCTCCTAGATCCATATGATACTGATAATGATGACAATGAGAATCATTATAATCCCTCTGCAACCTCCAAAGGCTGTGGGGCCAGTGGGGCCCCTTCTCCCAGGAACTGATCCCTATGCCACATGCCCAGCCATGGTGGCATCCTTCTGGCCTTCAGAAAGCTCAGGAAGGAGAAGTGGTGCCCAGCCCTTCTCCGCACTGGGAACCCTGCCACCCTCCTTGACCCATGGAATGCCATGTTCCCAGGAGGCCTCAGGGGGCTCCTGGGTGCCGACTGTGGGATGCAGGGGACTCGCTGGACTTCCCCAAACTCTAGCCTCCTTGTCTGTTACAAAACATACCCAAACAAAAGAAAGGATAAAGGAGAGGTTTGACTCTTCATCTCTTAGGCTTCATGTGAGGTGGAGATGAGTGATGGGGCATGGCTCAGAGTGAGCTCCCTGACAGTGACATGGTTTTCTGTTATCCTTACAGCAGGAGTGGGGCTTCCAAACTGTCAGATGTCAGGTGTGTGTACCCACATATTCCCTTGCACAAAGACACACGAGGAATGTGGAGGTAAAGAAAACCAAGCAGTCCCTTGATGTAGGACTTCTCAGAGCCTTTAGAAGGCAGGTATGGTGTGCAGATGCTTATATTCATTTACAAAGGCAGATGGAACCGCCTCTGCTCAGAGCATCTCTG